GGCACAGCCGGCCCACCCGAACCTGCCCACGGTGCAGCCCCACGCGGCCTCACAGAGCCTCTCACAGCCGCTCTCTGCCTACAACAGCAGCAGCCTCAGCCTCAACAGCTTAAGGTAGGTGAGCGGGAGCGCGACGAAGCCCCGTCTTTGCGAGCGGGAGCATGACAAAGCCCTGTCTTGGCGGGCTGGGCTGGGCTGCCTGGTGGCGATTCTTGGAGGGAGGGGAGATGAATTAGCTGAAGTGAAGGAGAGAAGCGACAGCACGGCCCGTCCCATCTCTGGGAAATACAGGGGGCTTTGTTCGTTTAAGCTTAATTCCATCCCTGAAAGGAGCCGGTTTCGCTTCATTTCTGATGTAGCCTTCTCATAAACGCTGGATATTCCCAAGCACTTACTTAATTTGCTTTTACTTTCCCTACCTGTCATTGTGTGCTCAGGTTTTTGGAGGGGATTTTAGGCAATATATACAAGGGGAAGAAATTCCGAGTTCTTGCAGGTTGGGCTGCTCTCGGAAGGCTCGCTCCTTTTACCCTGCTGTCTCTGTAAACATCTGCTGCTGCAAACATCTCCAACTACTGACGTGCCCTAGAGCAAGAGGGATGGTACAACTGCTGCTGGCCCTGCTGACAGCAGAGCACAAACGGCCTGGCACCAGTGACTTTAAAGCTTAATTTCTTTCCCTGCACTGCTGACACCTTGCAGTCTGGTGTTTCTCTCTTCAGCTGGCCACAGTGAGATAAACCTCACCTTTTGTAGGGGGTAACAGGGATGAACAGAGAGTTGAAACAACATGTTCACAGGAATCTGTAATGTGTGAGTCAGGGACCTCCAGTTTCCCCTACTCTAAGCTAATGCTCTCAGCACTAGGTCATCTTTCCCCAAATCTGCCCTTCCAGCAGGGAGACGGTGTCCTTCAGCACCTGGTGAACCAGCATTACGGTTGCTGCATGCTTTGACTAAAGTTGGTATTACTTGTCTTTAAAAGTCACTGCAATAGAAGCGTGTCGTTACTTAAAACAAGGACGAGTAGAACTAAGCACTCCATGAATATATTTTAAATACTCATTAGTAGGAAATGAAACCTGAAAAAATGCACCCAATGGAATCAGAAATATTTGTTTGGATGACTTGTCTGTTTATATTGTGGAGGTAGAGACTGGCATTAACTGTACAACAAGCATATATCTGTTGTTGCCTTCTCAACTTCATTTCACGTTTTCTGCAGGCTTTCATCTTACTAAGTAATAGCAAAAAAATTAAACTTTTATTAGTGCAGTGATCACTGATTTTGAGCTTCATTTGCCTGAAAACATGAGTCAGAAGCAGTCATGTAGAAAGGACCTGATAATTAGGTAATGAATGCAATGCACAGGGCTGATTACTTCTTTGCATGTCATTCCTGTGTTGTTGGAGGACGGAGTATCAACCTCTGACAGAGAGGGAGAATATGGTGTGGAGAGGCGTCAGGAAGCAAAAGGTACTGGAAAAAGAACGGCAGGTGCTTGGGAGAAAGGAATGTCACGGTGGTACTGCTAGAAAAGTAACTTACATTTGTAATACGTAACTTGCAGTAGTAACGTGTTTAATGAGAGCCATGCATAGCTCGGTGGGGTTGTGTATGTGTATGTTTGGAGCTTTCCTCTCTTCCATGCAACGCTTAATTGCTTTTCTTTTCATTAACAGCAGCAGCAGAAGCAGCACTCCTGCCAAGACTCAGGGCCCTCCTCCGCACATATCTCACCATCCCTCCGCCTCACCGTTCCCCCTCTCTTTACCCAGCCACAGCCCGCTGCATACCTTCACACCCACCCTCCAGCCCCCCGCACACCCACATCACCCCAATATGTTTGCCCCTCCTACGGCTTTGCCTCCGCCACCTCCATTGACGTCAGGGACACTGCAGGTTCCAGGACACCCAGCTGGTAGTACTTACTCAGGTAAGAGGCAGACGGGTCACGGCCTGAGCAGGTCCAGTGCCAATTCTCCAGTTTTAGTCAGAATAATTCTTTTTGGTCCGTTTGATGAGGGCTGTTGGTTGGGTAGAGGCTGTACTTGCTGAACGATTTGGAGTGATGGCAAAGCTAAAAAACTCAAGCTGTCCCCATGAGACATACCCATGTACCCACGAGACTTTTCTTCTGCCCTGGGAATGAATATTTTTGGAAGGCTGTGCTTTTTCCTTGTCTGATTTTTTCTCACCAGGGGTAAAAACACGCTAGAGGTCATAATGCAGCCACACAGAATCTGTGAGTCCCTTGGCAAACGTCTTTGCTGCAGTCATGATCTGTGCCCAGCATTGCTTCCCTGGCTAGAGGGGAAGCCTCTCGTGGCTGTGCACACAATGATCCTGAGCTGCTGTACATGCAAGATCTTGTGTGTGTGTGAGATCCAGAGGTTTTTATCAGTTGAGAGAGTTGTGCTTTTTTTTTAGACTTTGACTGTGGGGAAATTGTAAAGAGTCTGTTCCTCCCAGGTCTGTCAAAAGGAACTGCGGGAAGAAAATAGAAGATAATCAGCATTGGAATAACATCGTGTTGTGTCACGCGAAAGGGTACTCATGTTAGCAGCAGCCACTTGATGTTTACTCCCTCTTGTCTCCTCATCCCTTTAGGACTATGTCTGTACCCACAGAAATTTAGGGAGAACCCTCAGGTTAATGCCCAGAGGAATGCTGTAGTGGAGGTACGCTTGGTGAGAGGGGAAATTGAGAATTTCTTCTGTCTTTGAGGCCTTTGGGGAAGATCTGAGGGAGCTTTCTTAGCTTGTGCAAGGTCTTGATTTACCACTAGGAAGTTTTAAATACAGCATTGCTACCGTAGCCAGCAAAACGCAAGTGGCACAAGATCTGGAAAAGTCCCTGAGCTCACGGGGGGTTGTTTTGCTGTTTGTATTTCAGAACAAGATCTTCTCCGTCAGGAACTAAACACGCGGTTTTTGGCCTCGCAGAGCGCAGATCGCGGGGCCTCCCTGGGCCCGCCGCCGTACCTGAGGACCGAGTTCCACCAGCACCAGCATCAGCACCAGCACACACACCAACACACACACCAGCACACCTTCACGCCTTTCCCTCACGCCATCCCACCCACTGCCATCATGCCAACGCCAGCACCGCCCATGGTGCGTACCCCAGGCAGAAATGTGAGGATAAGTAGAGCACAACTCTATTCTTTATTACAAAAATTTAAGAAATTGCCAGGTGGCGGGGAAGGAGTACTCTGCTGCCCAGATGTGGTTGGGTAGGAGAGGAAGGACTGGCCCTTCCTCACGGTTGTCACGTGTGCAGTAGCTTGAGGTGGCAGCGCAGGGGCTGAGGGACGAGGCTGCTGGCTGGAGTCGCAAGTGAGACTTCCCGGTGCTTGGAGTGGTGCACTCTGGTGCCTTCTCCTTTTTGCCATCTTGTAGAGACCTTGTTTTACCATGAAGAAAGAAAAATCCCGAAGAGTTTGTTTGGAAACTAATTTTTCTGCATATTCTTTCCTCTCTGTTGGCTGCCAAATAGTAGAGAAGTAGTCTTCTATTTTACCAACAGAACTAAAGCAAGGAAATATCAAGTAACTAGTTTGTGCTTTGATCCCTTTGCAGTTTGACAAATACCCTACAAAAGTTGACCCCTTCTACCGTCACAGTGTGAGTTTTATTACTCTCTTTAAAACTGACTTAACTGCTTTTCTGTGGTGGGTTGGGATCACCACTCAGTCAATGGCACAATGTCGAATCTCTCCCTAATCATCACTCCAGGATTTACCATTATCGTTCTTGGTTGCTTTGGCTTTTGAAGGCTTGCATTCGTGGTGCTTGTTTCTGATAAAGATGCAGTATCAGCTTTTCCAATCAAAAGATCCCGTGCTCGTACACCATTTGAAGACAGGTTTGATGTGAAAAAGATGAGACAGAAGAGCTGACTGTTACATGAAGCAGGAGAGAGCAGTAATTTCATCACTGTGTTTCAGTTGGGCCACAAACCCTTAGACTGATATTTTTCCTAAGAAACTTGAAATGAAATGACAAACTATCATACAAATCCTTGAGGGATAGGTAATCTAATAGTTTTCCTAATATATCATATTTTGTTCTATAAAATCTAAAAACTTGTCTTATTCTTCAGATTTCAAAGGCACATCTGATCCACTGGGCTTGTTATGTTTTGAAAGCTCTGTTTGATGACAGCAACATGAATCCAGCTGTGCACTAGATGTGTTTATCTAAGAGCTGCCAAAAATGTTACCTGTTGAGATGAACTGACTTTCAGTATTCCAGTTAATTGTAAAGCTTCTGCTCTTAAGGATTTAAATCTACTGATTCATGTGCTGCTTGAAATATGGGTCGTGTTTCCTACATCATATTGGCAGAGGCAGGTGTCTGGTTGAATATGACAAGAATTTCTAAATCCAGTAGTGATATTTTGATGAGAGAAGGAGTACTGCATCAGCACTCAGAAATTTGCAAAGCACTTCGCTTTATGTGTTGATTTTGCTTAGAAGTGGAACTGGGCAAAAAAAACTGGTTAAGCTGATAGTGTGATGCTTCCCACTGCACTGATTAAACACGGTTCCTGCTAACAACTCACGCCTGTGGTACATGTGAATAGCCCGATTAATTTCTGACACCTCATTTGAGTAACTTTAAATGTATGAGTGTGTTTGCAGGATCAGAGCTCCAGGAGTATTAAGCAAACATTTAAGCCTGCGATAATCACTTTTACTCAAAAGGGTAATGCTGCTCATTTGCATCATTGTTTGCAAAATTGCACTCTTATTTGCTGAGCTTTACATGGATTCAAAAGATGTATTATCATTAATGTGGCGTGTTGATTCAAGCAAGAACACGGAACTGGGAAATAAGTAAATGAATTTTAGACAAATAAAGCACAGAAGTTGACATGCAATGTAGGAAACGTTGCAAAAGTCTCCAACTGTATATGCTTTTCAAATTCAGTGGCATAATCTCATACAAATCGGGCAGTTACCTGAGTTGCAAAGGCCATGGTGTTACCCCTTTCAAGTAAGGAAAGGCTTCAGGTTGTTTTCGATTAGCCAGTGAGCCGTGCTGTTGAACTTGGCAGAGCTCCACCAGCCAAGGTCTGGTCCGTTAAGGCTCCCTGCCCTTCCTTCAGGAAAGGTTTGTTCTTGTGAAGTGGTTGCAAAATAATCACTGTTGCGTCTGTTGGATATTTAGCAAGCTAATGCCGGAAGATCGATGTGATGGCTCCACATTACACTGGATTAACAGTCTGTCTTAAACTACGGCAAGGCCACACTAGCCTGGGTATTTCAGTCATCTTTTCTGCTATGACTATAGCTTATACAGGTGACAGAGGAACTGCTTGCATCGGTTTCCTGAGCAGCTGCAGTATCAAAAAGAATGCTTCGGCTGGCACAAGTGCATTGCCAGTACGGTTTTTCCTATTCTAGAAATGCTGTGAAACCGTGGCACTTCCGAAGACCTTTCCCTAGTGACTATAGAGTTGCCGCTGCAGATCCACACCAAGAACTCAGACATGTTAAAAAAAGCTGGTGATGGTATTAACACTTCTGTGTGAATTTTTTCCGGGAGAGCAAGGTCTGTTTCATTAAAGTCAGTCCACCGTAGAATAGGTTCCCTGACAGCTCAAATGAAGCTCACGTAGAGATTTAAAGCAGTTTTATTTCTTGGCATCTTAGATTCCATAATCATTTCTTGAGGGGGTGGTGCTCATTGCAGCAGGGCTTTTACCTACAGGTAACGCTGGCTCTAGGTGAGGCTTGCATTGCTCCTGGCTCAGGAAAGCTGTAGGTTCCATGTTGTTCCCTGAGGAAAGCTAGAAGGGGAAAATGTTGCTCAAAAGAGAGGAGAAGAAGGAAACACCGACTATGAAGGATGGATTTTGAAAGCTGCAGGAATTTAACTGAGACAGAGAGATCCTGGAGATACAATATTTATATTTTATTAATAATTGTGACCTTGAGGAAAGGTCACATGTAATTAACTCACCAGCTGTTATAAAACTCCAAGGAGAGCATTCCTTATTATTACTTATAGCCAATAGAATATTTAGTATTACATCTCTTTCCATCGTTTGGAATTAGTCCATTACACGCAGAATTAAATGCAGAAGACACTGGAGGATTTAAAACACATTTTGCTCATTAAAAGTTATTGTAAATGAGGACGTGTGTCTCTTAATGATTTTTCAAATGCCTGCAGTTCAGTATCAACTAATCTAAAAATGCTTTCTGTATCATTGAATGGAGCGGGTCCAAATTAAATATAATTAAAATCAACAATGGAAACGTATTATGAAAGGAGACTCGATACCAAGCTTTTTAAGCGAGAAAATCTTTTGATACCTCTAAAATACTGAAATATTTCCTCAGCATTCAGTAAGCATAATACAAATAAATGACCTTGCAAGATAAGCTAGGGAAAGGAAAAATGATTAAGAAAAGCTCATACATATTCCTGGCATAAACAAATTCATTAAAAATTTGCAATACTTGTTTGCTCTGGGATGTGATTTTCTCAGCATTTGCTCACTCCACGTGTCCAGTCTTTTACTTTGCCCAGTCCTGCTTCTGTTCAATTGGCCATTAACTCATTTAATTTGATCTTAAAAGTAGCCCACGGTGATTGATTTTTGATCCGCTGTGTTCAGAGGTGGATTTGTAGCAGCCAGGAAACACCCCTTCAGGTTTTTGGGTGGCAACACCAACGGAGTCCCCCGTTAGATCCTGAGGTTTCATAGTGAGAACATATTTGCAGTGTGATGCTTAGAACCCCCGACTTCTACCAGAAACCAATTTTGTGCGTAATCTCAGCATTGTTCATGGAATTGGTCAAGTTAACGGTGTTGCAGCGTGAGCAAAAGATTCACAGCTGGACCGCAGAGACAATGTAAGATTTGGAGGTTCTGGTTTACTTGCTGGTTTCCCATGTGTTTGTCTGTGTTAGTACAGAACTGCTTTTGTTGATTTATTTTTTTTTACTAAACTCTCTTAGGACAGATATGTTTGTATCAGTGAGGTCAGGGGAGATGTGCACTTTTTTATGCTTAGTACTCTATCTTCATAAAAACAGTACCCTAAGTTTTTGGGGGGTTCTGGCTCGATGTTTGGTTTAAGTAATAATTTTTTACAAATCAGATTTTCTCTCTGCTAATATTAGATGTGACGAGATACCCTCTCAGACAGGCTAATAAAGTAAAAATTGTCCATATTTTCCTCATTTCCTACAGATACTATTAAAATTCAAACATACTAATGGAGTTTTAATGATAAAATATCCTAGAACTTGTCAGGGTTTTTTTTTCTCACTTAGACAGTAGCTTTCTAAGTCTGATTTGGCTCAGCCTTCTGCCATTCCTTTTGAAACAGTTTGCAAACTAAACCCATTTAAAACTACCGTCCAATTTACAAATGAGTAGTTGGAGGGGGGAAAGGTCTCTCTTACGCTCTGGTGATGTAACCCAGGGGACAGGTTGCTGCTTTATGATTTTGGAACTGCTTTTAAGCTCTAAACGTCATGACATTTGTCAACATTTCATTGACTGCTCTAACTAACATTGTTGCAACAAGGTCACTCTTTCAGTGCTTCTCAGTTTTCTCCATGTACCATTTCCCTAGTGCGAAGCGGGAATCCTTTCTCTGTCTCGTTCAACTTCCTGCCTTCGTTTTGACGTGCGCTTGTATTTATGTTCTTCTGTCTTCTTGTTACAGCTGTTTCACTCCTATCCTCCAGCTGTATCAGGTATTCCTCCCATGATTCCTCCAACTGGCCCCTTTGGCTCGCTGCAAGGAGCATTTCAACCCAAGGTAAGAAATTCTCTACTACGCCGGTGTTGGGAGCCACGTTAGGTTTTGGGTTGCGTGTTGTTCAGGTTGTGGAGCGATCGAGATCCCAGTTACAGCCTCATCCCACGGAGGACGATTGGCTTTTTCCAAATTTACTACAAAGAGAAGTTATTTCTCCCAAGGCTCAGATATATCTATGTGTATTCTGTGAAACATTATATATAATGGCATAGTTAGCTTTAGAAGCAGTTCTCGGGTCGGTATGCATTAATGTGAGGTCATGTCATAATCAGGATTTTAAATCATGATCACTCATTTCCATAATTATCTCACAGGTCCACTGCAACACAATACACTGATTTAGTGCTCCTCTCTTTTCAGCTAGCTAGGATAGATACATGTGATGAGTTTAGTGGGTCTTTTTTTTCCTTTGTTTTCATGAAGTCACTCTTGATTTATTAAGCGGGTTGAAATAATGTTCTGCAGTCTGTGGTCTTTGCAACTAAATACTGAAATCAGGACTGAAATTTCTGCAGAGAAGACACCTTCTTTCTTAAATTGGCCCATCGACTGTAATGACTGAATATGTAAATCACAGTTCATTAGTGGAATTCTTCATACGTATGGTAATCAGACTGTTAACAACTCTGTTACTTGTTAGTTACACTGTAGCTGATTTCCTCTTTTCTTCATTTTAACATAGGAAGAAGCTCTGTCTCAATGTAGTGTTTTTCTGTTTTTTCCCCACAAAGCTGTGTTTTGTTATATTAGCTGAATATTTACATTCAAGTTGGGGGAGGAAAGGCTTTAATTTTTGTCAGTTGGATGTCGCTTTTGCCTGATATCCGTCGGGTAACAGTTCATTGTGTGTGGAGTTCAGATCCTTGTACGGTGACTAAGTGGATTACTGATGCTTTGTGTGCTGGCAAGTCAGGTTGGCAGTTTTACCCAGTTTAGTGCGTTACTGATAAGCAGCAGAGCACGAGCTTGGTCCTCCAAATACTGCTTCAGGTGCCTTATCAGAAGTGCGTTGCTAATCAGGTTTTTGATAGTGGAAAGATTTTCCAGTGTAAACAGTCACTGTTCACTCCTGTGTTTTGAATTAAATTCGTGGGAAGTTGGTAGATAATGAAAGTTTGAAAGCTGAGATTGTAATACATATATTACTAAGTGGATTATAATGGTTATCTTTTGCTGTTTAAAAAGTTTATTGCTTAGACGATGTTAATAACAAAGAAGTATTATTTTTCCCTTTTGGATGCTTTTATGCATTGTGTTACTCATTAATGTTCTCTTTCCTTGTGGTTTTTCTAGACTTCCAATCCTATCGATGTTGCGGCCAGACCTGGAACTGTCCCACATACCCTTCTACAGAAAGATCCACGGGTCTGTAGGAAATGTTTTCTTTTTCTCAAGTCAAGCTATTCCTTCTGAAAGCCTTAAATGCTAGAGCTGCCATCTTCAATGTGCCCAAATTAACATCCTAAAACTGTCTGATCTAAGTCAATGAGAATGAGAGAAGTTGTATGAGAGCAATTTAAATCCTGATCTTTACTTCTGTTCATCATTAGCAAAAGCAAATAGATACTGTGCTGTCAGCAGGCAACCCCACAAGCCCCGGGGGTAAAGGCATAAAAGTCCAATTCAATGTAGAAATGTACAAACCTCCCCTAGATTTATGTTTCTACTCTGTAATTGTTTGTAATATGGGTAATGACAGTTACTCCCTTGGTTACTGTGTCATTGATTGCACCAGTGAAATACGGATGCACTTTATTGATCACTTGGCGCCTCTGGATTTTTGAGTTCTGTCGTATGTGAACAAGCATTTATTGTCTCAGCTCTTTATCTCTTAGCCTTTTTCTGTTCTTTGCGACTGCCCATGTGTTGTTTTCCTCCTTGAATTAATATGCGTGGTTTGCAATGAGGAACATCCTGCAGTCATGTCATTTCTTTAGAGGCTCCCATCGTTAAGTTATTTAGCTTTATGCTCCCTTTCAACTTGTAGTGTAGTTTTGATTACTTCAAGATGAGATATTGTGCCATTGCTGGGTCTGCAAAGTACCTCTTACACCTATAAATCTGTTTTAGGATTGCATTTCAGAAAAGAAAATCCAAACCAAATGACAAATACCTAATAAATTGTATTTGTTTGCCAGCATTTGTTGATGAAATGTGAGAAAAAAAGGAGGATAAAAAATAATCTACCTCCCCCAAAAAAATAGGCTACGCAAAAAAATAGCAATGAGAAAATCATTTTTTTATACAGCCTCTCTTTAACAGCATCTGTTGCAGTGCAGGCAAAACCCGTTTGTGACAGAGAACGCATCAGGCAAGAAGTCAGTCAGTAATGACTATTTGAATATACAAGTCAAGGACCTAATGCCGTAGCCCTTGAGCGGACACAGTCCCTGGTTTGCAGGCACACGTCTGAAACACCATCCCAGCCCATTCTAACCCAATTTGTGGGGTCAAGCCTGTGAAAAAGAGGCCCTGTCCACCATCCGATCTTCTCAAGAGCTGAGCAGCTTTGAAAGATGAGAACAGAAGTTTGCCCAAAGGATAGATCTGTGTTTTTCTTCAGAGTAGTTAACCAGCCATTTTTGTAGCATTAAATCAACAAATTAATGGTGATGCCAGAGGACAGAGCACTCTGTGTGAGGCGTGTTTAGTTGCTTGTCAACACTTGGGTACACCAGCCATGGGGGGAGGGAGACTGGCTCGGATACGGAGGCGAAAGACTAATTATTATCCGAAAGGGCTTCATTTGAAAGTAAAATTATAACATTTTAATTTCATCTCTTAATGAAGCAATACAAATTTGTTAATTAGAGCAATTGTTTGAGTGACAGGCATGTAACCAAGCTGTCATTTCTTCTTCACAGTTGACAGATCCGTTCAGGCCCATGTTGAGGGTAAGAAATCTTGTGATACAGTTTGTCAAGCTCGTCTCAGTCCCCACCGGGTTAAAGCAGCAGATTAATTATGAAGTGGTGCCGTGTTTCATCTTGAGTATTTTACACCGTGTTTGCTGAGCAGCATGATCAGTCCTTCTTTGTGAGCATCTTGTGGTCACTCCAGGAAAACACATTTTCAAGTTGGAAGTTGTCTGTTCTTGCCGTGCAACCCCCTCGCATGAACACCAGAGGTTAAATATTGGTAATCCTTCTGTCATGCTGACTTACAGGGTTTCCTGAGCCATATCCTGGAGACCTACCCTGGCAGTGATCCCCTGTCGTTTCATTGCAGGCTGAAGGATTTTGCCCTTTATTATTTCCCACGTGTTTTCAGTGTTACTCAGTACGGTGCTTCCTACTCAAGTATCTTAATGTCCACTACAGACAGACAATCCACTTCAAACACAAAATATTTTAGAAATAAGAATCAATAGATCCAGCCGTTCAGTGATCCAAAAGAAGTTTTTGTTGATTTTTCAGGTGTTCGTGATGGTCTAAATTTTGATCAAACTAAGCAAGCGAGTTTATTCAATCAGTAGCAAAGCCACTGGCTGTGAATAAGCGAAAGGTTTAAGTTTAGGGGAGTATGTGTGAGAGATGTGTTTATTTTTTGTGTATTTTTAATTGTTGGTTGATACACACCTAGGAATAGAAGGCAGACCATATGCCATAGTTCTTGAAACATTTAAGTTAGCAGTAGCCTTGAATTCCTGTGATCATTTTGAGATACACAGGGATCATTAGTTGTGTAGTTAACTTCAGACCCCTAAATAACAAAATTGGAGAAAGTATATTCTGAATTAATGTTTTTCAGACAAGATTTGCAGATGTCTTGGAAACGGAGTACAAAATCAACAAGAAAGCCCAAATAGCACTCTAGTTCTTTCTTCCCTCATCCACCCCATGAATTAAAAATACAGTGACAGGAAGGATGCAAAGAGCCCTGCCAAGCCCAGAGAACTGACTGGCCTCCTATTTTTTCAGTGTATTTATGACACAGGTAGAGGTGAGCAAATTCAAGAGGGAGTCAGGTTCATTTTGAAAACCAGAGTGATCTTTTCAAGTGCTTTGATTTGCATCTTTTGGTGGAAAGGCTAGTCTTAGAATAGGTGCACTTTCAGAAATGAGCTCAGTGTACAGCTGTGAGATAGTTCAGCTATGCAGGGCAGCTGCTAACAGAGACAGTTTCATGGATTTCAGCGAAACAAGCTGCATTCTCAGCCAGTGGCATCAGAGGATTACAAGATTGCGTAAAACTTGAGCATGAGTTTGGAGAGGAGAGTCACCAGGAGCATTCCTGGATATCCTTCTCAGCAAGGGGCAAATTCTCTGCGTTTCTGGTTTCCCAAGAAGACGGAGAGGGAAGGCACTGAAGGGGGACCCTTTGCTTTCAGTTGTCTTGGTGTGGGGAATCCCTTAGACCAGAACAGACTGGGCTGAGGGTTGGCGAGAGTTGCTAGAACTAGAATAAAGCCTCACAAGTTTTTGAAAATTGCTGCTTCATGTCATGTCCCTTCGTTTTTTTCAGAAACCTGGGAAGTGGTGCGCTATGCATGTTCACATCGCCTGGCAGATATACCATCACCAACAGAAAGTCAAGGTCAGTCTTTTGGGCATGCCTGAATGTCAGATGAGTTGCACAGTGCAAACCTGTGAGAGGCAGAGTTTGTCTATTGCTGGTAGCAGTTCCATGCTGTCTGCGGTTAATGCCTTCTTAAAGTAGCCATAGGCAGCACTATAGCATAACCTTACATTTCATAGTGATGGCATATCAGAATTAAAAAACCCCAAAGGTATAGTCTTAAAGAAATGTATGTGATGCCTTGGAGCAAGGATACCAGATCTTGGGTGCTAGAAACCAGATTTTAGCTAGGAAGAGCTAAATGGGTGTGCCTGTGAGCTACAACATTGCTTTTATTTATGGCTGGGGACCCAAAAATGTCAAGATGAATTTTTTTTTAAGTCTGGAGAGGCTCAGGACTGAGGTCCCATTCCTCTTATTAATGTACATGGACAGAAGAAGGCACAGGAAGATTTCTCCTGTCCCTGAGATGCTTTATGGAGTGTGGCTGCAGAAGCTCCCATGAGTCTTTTTTCACAACCCGTCATAGCTGGAGGTTGGCACCTGCACATCCCTGGGCGGGTCAGGCAGACACAGGCTCTCCGGCGGAGCAGTGTTACCCAGACACTGTCTCATTGCACTGAAGGCTGGAAATCTTCTCTTTGTTACACATGCTTCAAGGGTAAGGGCCATGTCAGTTTAGGCTCTCCTGAAACAGCTGTCAGAGAAAAAAAAAAATTATTCATTTAATACTTAGGATATTTCCATTCTTGTTTAACTGCATTTTCATTGCACATGGAGTCTGTGCAGGAGGTTTCTTTCCCTTTATGATTTCATTGTACTTGTCCCTGAATAATTCTGTGTTGCTCCTCAAGTTTTTCAGCAAGTCAAGAAAGGTTGGTGTTCTTTATTGTTCATACTTGTACTTCAGGAGTCAATAGCTTGTGTTAGAAAGTAAAATTTACAAGGAGTCCATAGCACTTGGCAGTCTGGGTATGCACTTGAGTTGTATAAGGTAGTACTATAAGACTATGAAGATGCTGAACAGCTACTAAAACTTGCAGCTAATAGAATTTAAGAATAACCCTTTTAAACAAGGTTGACAGGTTAATTTGCTGCAGTAGACGTATCTCTCTCCTCTGCTTCCTTATGTTTCCCCTGCTAGTGATCTTCATTCATCTTCTCATTATCAAAAAAGACAAGATTATAGACCTAAAGAGTTATATCTCCTTTTTTTAAATCTGATTGAAAAGGTATTTTCTTGAAATGAAATTATTATTCCCATGCTATCTATGTCCTTTGAATCCTCCTTGATTTGATATTCAGAGAGAGGTCATACTGGTGTATTTATAAATCATAGTAAATGCCATTTTCATGCAGCTGTTTCTTTTACCTAATACTTTCCTGTCTTTAGTGTTAAAAAACAGGAAGTGTATGAAAGGATATTACTTGACTTTTTGAGGCTCTGCCTGATGATAATTTTCAGAGTAATTGAGAAATGTATTTCACTCTTTCAGATCAATCAAAAAAATTAGGTATGGCGTACAGTCAGGGAGCGAATTGGTTTATGTCCCTGTATGAAATCTCTGGCTGAAGGCTCCTGCCGGGTGATTTCTCCTTCTAGTCCAAGGTTGTGAATGTGCCTTTTCTGCTGCACAAGCTGAAGATATTGCCTGACCGTAATGCAGGGAATAAAACATTTTTACTCAGAGATTTCAAGTTTGTGTGCGGTGCCACCAGACTGCTTGCAAAGTTTCGAAGAACTGGGAACTGTCTGGCCCGCTAGTAATTGCTTGCAGAGGGCAGCAGCAGACACTGAAGAAGCAGGCGAGGTAGGAAGCTTTAAAACACAACCTCCCTGACCCCAGAAGAAATTGCATGCAGCTGTGGATGCTGTTTGCCTGCCTAAACCTCTGCACCAGGACACAGTTTAGACCTGTGTAACCTGTCTGCTCACCCCGGGAATTCTGCAGACAAAGCCAGGGTTGCACACCAGCTCTGGGCACAAAGCAATTCTACACTCCTGCTTAGGCTGACCAGGGCATTAGTGGCCTGGATTCAAGAGGGAATTCATGCTCCCGTAATTGGCCCTTTCTCTCTTGGGAATGGCCTCACGGCCTGATCTAACACGCCATGAAATTAGTGCAGACATTTACATTGGGTTTCGTGGGCCCTGTTACACATTTGCTGGACTTGAAATACATTTGTGAGGATTATCATCAAGAGGGATGCTCTCCTGAACAGCAACTGGGGGTAAAATAAATATGATCAGTTTTCTTTGGTACTATTTCAAGGTAGCCTAACCCATTCAAAAAATTGTTTAACGCATCCGTGATATCCCTGTTCCTTCTCAGACAGATAGGTTGGGTTTTTTTCATTGTTTAGAACAGCACCATTCATATGGCTGCACTTAAAGTTTCAGCCAGCTTTTGCTATTCTGAATAATGCCTGTCGGAGGTTTATAATTTGATTGTTAAAAAGAAGAATAAAAAGAGTTTACAGCATAAAAATCTGGCACACAGGCTTCAACTGAGGTGTTTGTATCTTCTGAACTTTTATTAATTATGGAAGCATTACAGCGTTACTTCCTTAAAAAATATGACCTTAACTGGGCTGTCTTTTCAGTTTCAATATCTTTGCAGGCCACTATTTCAAAACACTGAGAAAGCCTTTTTTTGGGTGGCTTTTTTCCCCCCCCCTGCCTTACAGGTACATATATATGTAACTAGCACTTGAAAAACGGCTACTAGGCATGCACATTAACTTGGTCATATCTTTTTAATATGCATATTTATAGCATTTTAATAGTCTGTACTCTGAGCTGGCACAGTGTTAAATACTGATTTATAAAGCGTAACATGCTCCAGAATTACTGTTAAGATCTACCGGTTCAGTGTTACACATTGGTAAATCCTTTCAGCTGACCTGCACAATTAATCAGCAATCTGTGTTTAGGGAGTTCTGGCAGCACAGGTAATTGGGAATTTGGTTTTCCTCTTCATTCTATAAAACTGTTGAAGTAGGGGCCACTAAAATGAATACATGGCGTGAGAAGAGCCCATCCTTCAGCCACTTATCATTCACCATACAGCTACGTCAGCAAATTTACCTTAAAAAAGAAAGCCTGCTGATTCTAATACCTAATAAATAAAGACAGCAGCATACCGTGCTTTGAATGTGGAGTGCAAGCAGCCAAAGTGGGACTTCAGTTCTTTCGACTCAAATGCATTTAATCTGTAATTTGAGTCACTTTAGCACCTAATCTGCTCAGTGGCAGTCAGAGAGGCACTGAGAGGTGCACTGTGGCAAGTGTTTCTTCATCACAGCTTCACTCTAAAATCTATGGTTCTGGTGTCCATTGACTTGTCTCTGCTGTAACTGTCTGGCAGAGGATTCCTGCAGTGGGCAGAGGGTCTGCGGGCAGCCGTGCCTTTACAGTTGGTGCTTTCAGCCAGCTTTTAACACACCTGCCCACTTGGGATCGGGTCTAAACGTAGCATTTCTCCTCGGCTTTGTTTTTATTGTTTTTAGGCAGACCTGTTCTTACAGCCAAGCAAGTGTCTGAGGGCTCTTCAAAGTTTTTTGTGTTTGTTCTTTGTGCCACAGTGTTTTGCTCCGGAGGAATGGATGTGGAAACACTGTTGAAATTTGTGGGAAATGTGCATTGGGAGCCTGAGATTTTCTCTCTCTGCTTTAGATTCCCCTTCCAGGAAAAGAGCTGTGCCACATATGTTCAGGGTTCCAGAAACTTCTGTTCTTGTTAAGACATCAGTCAGTGTGAATAAATAGCTATACCCACATCATCCTGAAAGGGCCTCTTACTGCTTTTAGGACAGTCTCTTCCAAATCCTGTTTTTGCATTTCAGAAACAGATGCAGTCTGATCCGCACAAGCTGGACTTTGGCCTGAAGCCTGAATTTCTGAGCAGGCCACCAGGCCCCAGCCTTTTTGGAGCCATCCACCACCCCCATGACCTGGCCCGGCCCTCGACTCTCTTCTCCACAGCCAGTGAGTACTGAGAAGTGAAATCTCTGTCTTGTGGCATGCTCATTAAAACACTAATCCTTGCCATGTTAAAAGGAAATTTTCCATATGCTTTGGCTTATGAACTCTCTGCAAGACATGCCAGGGGCTATTAGTCTATTTGATAAATATTTGGAAGTTATTCTATATGCTTTTGAAAAAGCCCAACCTACTGAAATGCAATGTGGGTAGCAAATGGAGGAGGAGTTCTTCACTTGGTGATGTCATCATGGAGATGACAGGTTGGAAATAACTTTTTTTTTTTACATGCTGCTCTTCTTTTTTCACATTATGAAACAACGCCACTCCTGCCCCTGATATTCTAACTGGGAATTTCTGTTCAGAAAAGGAGCTGCTTTTTGCGTAGGATCCTAACGTGAGAGCCCCCACCCAGTGTGCAGCAATCTCTGCTCGTGTGAGCTGCTCTTCAAGAAACGGTAGTCAAGCCCAGAGCACAGGGAGTTCCTTCCTGAGCTTTTACTAGGAGTTCATCCCTTTTGCTTTGTTTTGGCAGGTGGGGGGCATCCAGCCGGCACCCCTTTCGGCCCACCACCTCACCACAGCAACTTTCTCAACCCAGCTGCTCACTTAGGTACGTTCTCTCTGCAAATAACTAACGGTGAACACAACCCAGAAGTAACTCTTTGACCATTGAGACCGTTAAAAGTTTCCCACATGGACACTCTGAGCATCCTGCCTACTTAACCTTTATAAATTGCGCATTTTAGCCGTTACCTGAGTAGCGATTCTAAATACCTGTAATAAGACCACTGACAGCACATTTTGAAATACTTCTGAAAGGAGTCTGGGCATTAGAGGATTGGAGGGACAGGGCTGGTTAATTTTCATCGTAGTCACGTTTATAACCAGTCAAAAAAATGCCTTAAGGTTAAGGCTTCAGTTTGTAGAGGTGTTTCTTTTCCTAACTCCTACTTAGATGTCTGCTTTTACATTTGAGTGAGTGGGAAAGATATCCTTAAAATCTTGTGATCTGACCTCAAATGTGTCTGGTTTCGAAAACGAGTGAATATGCATTTTAACATCAAACCACCCAAGTTACCAAATGTTGTTATTTCCCTTCCAACTTACGAATGTTGTAATAACGGAGTCTGCTACCTACAGGAGCATCTGAGATCAAGACTCCAAATTGGGATTTTATTTTGCATAGGGAGGGATTTTGGGAGGGTCACCAAATTGATACAGCAGACTCACAACGTAGGTTTGTCGTTCTGCCCTTAGCTGCCTATAGAAAATGACTGAGTTTGGTCTTCCTGTCCTCTGTGCTGGCATTTATCAGAAGTATTTTCATCAAAATTCTTAAGACTTCTCCAAAGTAAAGTGAGAAAAGAATTTTCTTCGTATGGTTTACCTATACTCTGCATTCATTAACTACTAAAAAAAAAGTCTGATGTTTTTCAGTCCATACTATTTATCATATAGTGTTAGAAATAAATATCAAGAGAATTACAAAATGTTCAGTCAGCGTGACATACCAGGGTAACAGGACATTTTATTTATATCCTGGCTATGGTTTAGGAGACATGGCCTGAAGGCATTCGGAGCACAGTTGCCAGAGTTAATAATAGTCTTGCGAGGCAGGGGCATTTCCTGAGAAAGACCGTGGAATTGAAGTGGAAGGGTATAAAAGCAAATATAAATGGAGATGTTTGCAGGTTTAAAATGAATTAGCTACTTCTGCTGAAGTACAGGCCTCAATAACATGTATATTTTAACACCTCATCTGTTTGGTTGTAAAGGAAGTTGTCCTGCTGCATACTGTTGTTGAAAAAAAAAAAAAGTGGTTTTTTTTAATGTCTCACCCCTTCACAATCACTGTTGTGTTGTGGGAGGGTGATGCTCAGCTACAGACGGGCACAGAATGGGTTTTCATGCAGACTTAATGCAGTGGGCTAAGACACTAATGCTTTATCATAATCACCACCACTCCGGTGAGCTTCAGCTGTTCCTGTTGGTTTGCAGAGCCTTTCAATCGACCGGCTTCCTTCAGCGGCCTCACTGCAGTGGGTAGCAATGCCTTCGGGGGACTCGGGAACCCGACAGTTAGTGAGTAACCTCTTTGTTTATGAATTCTCGTTTGCTGTGTAACTTAGGATATTGAGCGATGGGGACTCCTTGCTGTCTTCTTTACCAGTTGCTTAGGCGACATACGACTAAGAGATGGAAATTTGAAAAGCGATCTTTTTTCTTCTTAAAAACAGTGTTGTTTTAGTCATCAGTAAATTATTTTCTGTTGGTTTGGGTTCAACATAGTGCTAATTATCACCATTACGTTGTTTGGTTTAAAAAGAATATAGAAGAAGAATATAGAACCTATGAGTCTAAGGAATTTGTGACATCTCTCATGGTTTTGTTGCATGTTCAGAAACAGTTAATGTGTGCAGCATCCCTACCTGTGGATGGAAACGTTTTTTTTTCTTTCTCACCAGTAATCCAGGACGTGTGCCTGGAAAAGATCAAACCTACATTTATTTGTCCAGGATCATCAACATTTCTCTAGATTTGGCCAATCACAAAAGATCATCCTTTTAAAAATCACTCTTTCTCTCTCTCCCCCCATACTTCAAATCTGCCATGTTTTTGGACACATACTATTTTACTTTGGTTCAGGATCAAATGCAACAAGTTCCATTATTTATAGTCTGAAAAAATGGTCATTTGCTGATGTCTCCAAAATATTTGGAATAATGCTCACTGTCACTTTTACTCCGTCATTCCTTGTCAATTTTATCCGCAGCATTTCCCTTCCCAATTAAAAACAGCTGTCAGATGCCTGCCCATTTTTTAGGAATGAGACCCTCTAATGAATCTCTATTAATTTCCTTTCCTTTTCCAGCTCCCAATAATATGTATTCATTTTAACTCTGAGTGCTGTAAAAGTTTTTTTGGTAAGTACCTTCACTAGAGCATACCTTTTTCTTAAACCTTTTTGTTTTCCACTTCACCATTTCAGCACCCAACTCAATGTTCGGCCACAAGGATGGCCCCAGTATGCAGAGCTTTAGCAACCCTCACGAGCCCTGGAACCGACTGCACCGAACTCCTCCTTCGTTCCCGACCCCTCCGCCCTGGCTGAAGCCAGGAGAGCTGGAGCGCAGTTCATCTGCTGCAGCTCATGACAGAGATAGAGATGTAGATAAACGAGACTCATCTGTTAGTAAAGATGACAAAGAAAGGTACGAAAGAACACTTCCAAGAATTGTCTAGTTCAAAGCTTGGGGCTCTGTTCCGCTTTTAACCCTTCCCAGCCTGGCACATTGTCAAACCAGAGCTTCAGCAGAGGGACACCCGGAGAGCTGACACTGCTGCTGCCTGTGGCGCGAGGCGCTACGGGAGATGCGAGTTTCGAACTCCGGTGTTTCCTGCTGCATCTATTTCTCTTCTCACTTGCACCCCGCTTCAGCAGAAGGTGCTGCGCTGGAGCAGAGTTCAGGCAGCGTCAAGTGAGAATAGAATCGGACCCGCACGCTGCGTTACCTTGTGGGTCGCGTTGCGATAGGTCTTTTTTGAAGGCTCAGTGTGTAGATAGGTGCCTGACAGGATGAAAAAGAAAATGTACTGAGTCCATCAGACACATATCTGCGCCTTTGAATACTTACATATCTTCGTAAATCGGACCTGGTCTCCAAAACAAATAATGCCAACTCCCTCTTCAAAAATGGATTGCCCAGAGGGACCACTGGTGAAATTGCAATGCTTTAAAATGCATCGCGTGTGTCATGTTCCAAAACCACGATAAGTTTAAGTGCATGCAGTTCATTAAATGAACCTTAATTCCCCTCAAAAAAAGCCACACACACATGCAGTGCTGTTACACACCTTCGAGCACAGTTTTTATTCAGTGTTTTACGCGGACTTGCACGCTAGCATGTCCAGGCTGGGAAGGGTTAATGGAAAGTGAAACCTGGTCATATTTTTCTTATCAGGACTGTTCCCGTTATATAGTTAACTTAGTAACAATTCCTTTTAACATTTAAGTACCAAATTATAAGAATTTGCCATTCAGCAAGTGTCATGCCTTCCTTGAAAAATGTAGAGAGGCTGATTGCAGCTTTTTCAGTTGTGGCTTAATGGCTTTCCTGTTAAGTTTGCACATTACTTTACTACATAATGGCTATTTGTTTCTAATTTTTTAACATAAAAGGATATTTAGGAGATGTGCTTTTCTGACTTCTCTGTCACTAACCCAAGGATACGCATTAGTAGCCTTTTCTAAAAGAAGTTATGCTAACACATTAGATATTCTAAAAATACATTTAAGAGCTTTCCTATGTTGTTGTAAAATGCGAAGAGCAAGTCAAACTACAGATCTTTTCACCTACATTTTCCATTTGGAATATTTTCTGTTTGGTAGCATAGCTTCATTATTTTCATGTCTGGTGTTAATGCTTCAAAATAAATTGCTGTTACAAATTGGGGATTCTGTCCTGCAAAATGCTTTAAGCATGTGAGTAACTTTACTGGCTTGAATGGCAAAGCATTTGAGTTACTGATGGTATGGGCAGTCTTTAGAATTACGTGATTATTTCGGTTGCTGTTTTGTTGTGTTCTTATGAAGCGTTCCTACTTTCCGAAATACATTCCTTGCAAGCTGCTTTGGCATTGCCTGAACTCCATATCATAGCTCAGAACATACTTCTTTTTGATAATTCAAGAGCTTAAAAGTATGCGTCATCCATACTTCATACTTCTGCACAATACAGCTATCAGTTTAGTACAGTAATGGTTTTGCCTATCTAGTGTTGCTGTGCATCCGTCTGTGTGGTTTTGGAGAGTTGTACTTTGCAGCATGCACACACTGTTGCCTGTATGAGAAGATGCTGAGAATCCCTCCCTGGAGATGTGCTCCCTGTGTAGATCGTTTCTGGAGTAGTTTGGGAGCCTCTCACACCTATTCTTTTATCTTCAGTGCCACCCAGCAGGGTGAGGATGTACCTCTGCTTTCTAGTTGAGGTCCTGATCTCTCTTATCTATTTTAAGCTAATTTCCTCAAAAGGGAGAACTGGGAATCACACCCGGAGGTATGATTTAATCTCAAAATCATCCTATCATCAAGGGTCTAACTTTGTCAGCCCCTAAATGGGCAGTCTAGCCAAAAGCATTCGTCTTTCTCCTGTTATCGGTGGAAATGTACCTCAGAGGTACCTCTTAGCTTGGTTCTTCCCCATCTGTTTTAGTGGGTGCAGTGAATCACTGCTCGCTCTTCTTGGATGAACTGTATGGCCAGTGTACCGCAGCCCTCTCCTACCTCGAGTGAGATAAGGTAAATCCCTCAAGATAGTTTAGATAATAAGAAGCTACGATCTGTGAACCTTCCCTAGGTGCAAAGCTGTCTGGGGAGTTACACTGCAGGGCCCTGATACAGTCCCCACTTTATCCTGGAACATCATTTGGAGTTGTGAATGTGGGGTTTTTTTTGGTTTAAGGACTCTCTTATTCCAGCCCAGCATTAGGAAGATAGGATTTTTTCCTTCTCACTGGTGTTTTAAAAGATGTCACTGAGTAATTTCATTCTAATGATGACATTAAAGTGTAGGTAATCCTAGAGCATTACAAAAATAATAACCCAAGAATCTATTGGTCTTTTTATCGACATAAATGATGTAACATGCTTGGCCTAAGATACTCGGCATCTTTCAGTGTAGCATACAGCCTCAAAACATACCTTACTTACCACTAAGCTCGTCGGAGAGTGTGGTCTTAAGTTTCTTTTTTGTGGAAATAAAGGCTTAGAGCTGTTCCCTTATTATTAACCTAAGGAGCCCTTGACAAATGTGAGGATGAAAAAATACCCCTCTCTGACCACTGAGCTACATGTAGTTGACTTGAGTGACCTATATAATCAATATTCTCTTGAGATAATACCATGACTGTAACTGAATAGAATGAAACTGCCAAAGGTGTATGTTATTTTGGTTGCACATGTATTTTTCTTTAGTTACAGGAAATGCCTGTTGATTTACCTAAATTTTATGTGTAATTTACAATACATCAGTTACATAGAAAATTATGTATCAGCAAAAAGACTCAATGAGCTCTTCTAGTGAAATAAAGCAGTTAAAAGTGCTCACTGAACTAGTTCCGTGAGCAAAATAAATGAGGGACTGGGTATTGCAGAGTCCACAAACCAGTGCTTTCCCAGCAAAGTGAAAGAACGGAGTCTTCACGCTGAGAAACCTTCACTGGAGTGCCTTGACTTGGACTCACTGTGTCCAAATCTGGAAGCTGGTAAATGCCTCAGCTTTTGGTGGAGAGCAAGAGGGAATAGAGCCAGGACACAGTATCCAGACTGTTGAGGACACAGTCAGTCAAAGCAGAACTTGATACCAAGTTGTTAATTGGTAGTCAGTGCTGACTAGGTAGTTCTGCTGTCAAATGCTCCATGTTAAAAATGTTTTCTAACAGTTGCATCCTGGACTCCCGGAGGTCTCTCAGACACATAAAAACAGCCCATAGAAACAGTTTCAACAATTCAATCTAGACACAGCAAAAGATACATCTGGTGAGATTATAATAATTAGAGTTTCCTTTTCAAAGATATTTTTTCTGCAGTTGGTGCAGTTTCACCATCCAAAAGTACCTACAGGTAGAAATCTTCTGCAGTTCAGTTCAACAGAAAAGGAGGTAGGAGAGATTGTTTAGGTGAAGGAGCAAGAGTCCACTTCACAGCCACCCTGCGAGCTGCCCTTCAGGCAAGCCAGTATTGCACAGCTTCTTCAGAGTGAGTTTCAACTTGCTGTCCCCATCTGAGTGTGTTCAGGTTATATCGTTGCTGAGCAGAGACTGAAGCACCCAGAGAGACACTGTCTAAACTGGAGCTGGTTGGGATTTCAGAGAGCCTCCCTGCTTGTCCCACGCTTTTGCCTTTGACAGCACATTGTCCATCACCCCGCGTGGAGTGGAATTTCTATGCTCGGCAAGCAACATGTGTCCAACACTGAATATCTGGAGCTGTCTTTATGGAGAGACTCCAACTCAGAGATCAGTTGAAATTAGTGAGAAGTCAAAATCACTGGAACTGCGGAATTAGATTTACCTTATCAGTTTGATTCATTTTTAATAGGAAAGCTTTTTCACTTGCTGTTGACCATGAAAGCTTCGGGGATCTTCTTCTGGGTCAAGATAATAGAATAGGCGTAGTTTAGAGGTGGGATGTTCTGGTGTTTTGGGTGTGCAAAAGGAACAGTGCGTTTAATGTTGCATGTTACTAGCTTTGTGCAAAGCAATGAGTATAAATTTATGAATTCAGACACCCTAGATGCTTTGTTTTACTTGCAGAGTTTCTCATGCCTTCGTTTTTACACTTCTCTTTTTTGCAGGGAGAGCATTGAGAAAAGACACTCCAGCCATCCTTCGCCAGCACCTATCCATCCAGTAAACTCCCTCGGACATAATCGCAGCTCAAGTGAGCAAATCAGGAGCCATCTGAATCCCGAGGTTCGAGAAAAAGAGAAACCCAAAGAACGAGAGAGGGATCACTCTGAATCTCGGAAGGAAATTAATGTTGAAGAGCACAAGGTGAAGGACAACTATATTTCAGAGAAAGAAGGCCTGAGCCACGAAAGCCGAGTGGTGGAAGAGTCTAAGCAAATGCCCAGGGTTCCTTCACCCTATGCTAGGCCCCCCGTTGTGGAGAGCACCAGGCCTAATAGTACTTCAAACCGTGAGGCCGAGAGGAAGAACGAGCCGGCGTACGATAATCCGAAGAAAAGCAATGAAGTCAAAGTGAAGGAGGAGCGAAAGGAAGACCATGATGTTCAGCCTGAGGGACCTCAGACTCACAGGTCATCTGAGCAGCCACCGCCTATATCTACATCTAACGTCCATCCAAGTCCTTTGGTGTCTATGCCCATGACTGTAGGCGTAACTGGTATACATCACATGAACAGCATCAGTGGCCTGGATAGGACTCGCATGATGACCCCTTTTATGGGAATTAGCCCAATTCCTGGTGGAGAACGCTTTCCCTATCCTTCTTTCCACTGGGATCCAATGAGAGATCCCTTAAGAGATCCATACAGAGAGCTAGATATTCATCGCAGAGACCCCCTGGGCAGAGACTTTTTGCTAAGAAATGACCCCCTTCATCGTCTTTCTACACCAAGATTATATGAAGCAGACAGGTCATTCAGGGATCGGGAACCTCATGACTACAATCATCATCACCATCACCACCACCCGCTTTCTGTTGACCCTCGACGTGAGCACGAGAGGGGCAACCACCTGGATGATAGGGAGCGGTTGCACATGCTCAGAGAGGACTATGAACATGCACGCCTGCACTCGGTTCACCCTGCCGCCTTGGATGGGCACCTGCCTCACCCAAGCCTAATCACGCCAGGACTCCCCAGCATGCACTACCCCAGAGTCAGCCCCTCGACGGGACACCAAAACGGCATCCTCAATAAAACTCCCCCCACAGCAGCTCTCAGTGCCCCTCCACCTCTTATTTCTACTCTGGGACCTCGGCCTGGGTCTCCCAGAAGGACTACTCCTCTGTCGACAGAGATGAGAGAGAGGCCTCCTTCTCACACCCTCAAGGACATCGAAGCTCGATAAGCAGAGACTAAATAAAAAACAGAGAAAGAGGGACAGGACGTTGTAAATGAACATAATATAAAGACCTTCTTACTAGTCATTGATACAGACTGGGGATGCGACCCACTGTACAATATGTATAGACCTGAGTGCAAAGATTTTGAAATTTTTTTTTTTGTATATTATATGTTGAAATTTTCCAGATCTTTTAGCCAAGTCCATATGTTCCTCGTGTCTCCTACTCTATTTTATTTCTAGTTTGAAAATTTCAAAATTTGAACTGAAGAACAAGACGTTAATCTGAACGATTTGACTAGAAACAAACCACCACCAGTGTCAACCATGCAAAAGCTCTTTCAGATCAGAAGTGAAGACAATTGTAGATATTTATGTAAAAAGATTGCTTCATGGGTTAATGGTTCATATATGCAAAAAGGGTAAGATGAAAGCTTTACTTTGTACAAATGTAAATAGATAAAATTAAGTAACATAATACATTAATACTTCTTAAACTGTGCTATTTGCAAACTTAATATTGATCAACACAGTCTGCTTATGCTGTGTTACATATATTGTTATAGACAGCTAAACCCCTTCAACTATGCAATGAATTTTAAGGCTTTTCACAAAAGCCTTTATAACTCAAAGGAGCCTTTTCAACACACAACATAATTAAAGTCATATTTTCCCTGAACAAGCTCGTCTATGATAGAAACCTATTTCTTTTGCTTGTTTTGATGAAGAAACAGCCCGTTAGAAGCGTAGTTTTCTGTCTGAACCCCTGCATCGAGATGCTGATGTTACTGTAGCTCATGTACTCTGTAGACTGCGTCAGGGTTAGCGATCTGTAATCACTGGTACTGTAGCCATGGCAGACTGGTTTTCAGTCACATTCATCTGGGTTAAACAGAGTAATAATCAAATACTGGATATTTTCCAGACGTTTTGTCACTTAACATGTCAAATTTATTTTTGGAAGAACATCTGCTTATAGCCGTTATGTCTGTTTTTATTGCCAGTGTGTCATTTTTATCTGTACACACACTTTTTTTTTTTTGTGTGTTAAGTGATTTTTAGCTACATTGAAACAAATCCCACAAGAAAGCTAATACTTTTCTAAATGATGGATATGTTTTCACTGTGGATCAGTAGTCTAATTAATGAACTCCGATGCAAGATTTCATAATGCAATTTATTGTATTTCAGTTGGTAATAAAGTCTGTGAATAGTTAACAGGTCAGCCTTGTTGTTCCCTAATCACAGAAGACATGGAATAACGTGAAGAACGTGATCCTTTTTAAAAATATGCATCGATCTTCCGAAATCTGTCTTTTCATAACACAGTTTTTTATAATGCGTTAAGTTTCTTGTCTAAATATTTGGAGAGAATATGACTTTATCAGAGAGAATTCAATATCTTGTCTACTGGACTGTAAAATATATGTATGAAATAAAATTAGTTCCATTGGTCTTCTAGTGTATGAAAGTGCTATCTGAAGTTGTTATCCTGTTTTGGCAAAAAAAAAAAAAAAGAAAAAGAAAAAAGTTAACTACAGACAGTTGTTTCTAACGATCAGAGATCTATTTTAGTAGTCAACTGAAGGTTTAGTTGTGAGCTTCAGATTTTGTGAACTCCAGATGTTGTGCAGTGGTTTTGTTTTTTTTTTAAGAACAAAAGGAAAAATACAGAAAAAAAAAAACACCCCGACCCTGAAGAATATGTACACTGGAACCGTAGTGGTAGCTTTCAGTATTGTAAAGAGATTGTTATATACAAACCTTTTTGCTGTTTATCCTGTATGTAATAAAGTCCTTTCTAGATCCTATGTGAAAAGAAAAGTGAAGCGGCTCTCAATCTTCAGCATGTTTCCTCATCAGCGAAGACTTGTGTAATGTAAATTGTGCCATGTTATTAAAAAATGTGAACTAAACCGCTAGGTGCTTCTTTGTGTGGAGTACCCCATCATTGCTGTGGGGAACAAATACTTTTTCCCGAGAGTGGGGTTTTGTTCAGAAGAAATAGCTGTTAAAAATGTAAAGGAAACGGCAAGCTTTTCTAAACCATCTTATACAAATTATTATAGTAATCAGGAAAAAAGGAACAAAAATGAAACCAGATCCTTGGCTTGTCCAGATTCTTTAAAATACATTAACACCCTACTTACATTAGCTTTTAGTTCACGGGCCAGTCGGTCTTTCTGGATGGTCCCATACTTAAGTACGTGACTGTACTCAAGCCCTTTTGTGAATTTGTGCAGTTGCACACAAACTGAGGGTGTTTTACCCATTTTCATCTGCTAGAGGTGTGGCTGTCGGTTACTATGAACAACTTGTACATAACTATTTCCCCTTTCTTGCAAGTTGTTTAGTTCTTCATTGTACAGCTTTCGTGGTGACCTCTTTTTAGGGGTGGGGGGAAAGATGCTCATTATACTTGGGGGTTTGGGGGTATTTTTACAAGCTTGTTGCAAACACTTCAAAACCTTTATCCAAGTTACTTTGGCAGAGGTAACTTGTGACACTGAGATTTGCTTTCCTGAGCAAGATTTAGGAAATATTTCTCCTCCCTCAGTAATTGTCAGTTGCTGTGGTAAACAATTGAATGTTTGGAGCCATATATTTGTTTGGTTTTCTTTCTCTTTTCAGCTCTGTAGCACTTCTGGCTGTATTCTGCTCTTTCTGATGAAAGTGAAATTTCCCTGAATTCCAGCTAAGAGAAAGAGTAGCCCTATGTCTTTTTTAAAATCCCATTTTGCGTAAACTGCGCAGAGTGTACGACAGTAGCATAATGTTTGAAAAAAGCTTTTTTCCTTTTTTCTGAGAGGAACCTGTGTCTTGGTCTTCTGGATGCACATCATTAAAAGCCCTCCCAAGTTTCTGCAGGAAACCAGTTATAGAACGATGAAAATTATTGGAGCAAGCTTGCACAGATAGTCATGTGAGGGGGCCCGTGAGAGAGGGTCTAATGAGAGCAGCGTCTTCCAGGCTTGTCTCGGAGCTTTGCAGTAGAGGAGTCCTAACAACTTCATTGGTGTCCCTAGGGGGAAGAAATGTGGTGTCTGATTGTACAGACTGTGATCCCGGTTCTCTCAGGTGCTGAGCACGCTCCAGCTGATGATCCTTAATTCCCAATCAAGCCAATGAACCCTCACTCCCGGAGTCCCACAAAGCATTGAGGCATTTCACTCCCTTTGAATTCAATACAATTTAAGTGGCTGTGTGCCTTTGAAGATCTGGGTGCTAGGTCTTCCTAGAAGAGTGGTGACGCTCAGAGGAATATGCCTGAAAGGTATAGCAAGAGATGAAACAAGATTTGGAATGCTTTTAAACTTTATCAGATATATTCATTGCTTTTGAAAAGTTTGATATAAGGATGTTAGCTTGCAGGTATAGACAATTTAATCTTTTTAGCAGGGTTTTCCATTCAAGGCATTTGTCTTACATTATTTTTGAATCACTATATTTAAGAAATGAAGTTCATTTAATGACTGTGCCAAATACCACCTGCAGGAATGAAAGGAGTCGTAAGGGTGTTATTCTGTAAGGTGTGAGAGAGTTGGATCATGGAAAACCCTGAGCTACTGTGCTTACAACACCCAGGGCCTTTGCTTTATGCTTTAAAGTTCCCACCTTTCTGCACTCTTAACTAGTTTTCTGTGTAGCAGCTTCCTATCACCAGCTGACATGCCAGATAAAGCAGTGTATGGGAAGTGGTTCTTTGAAAGCAGTTGTAACATTTTCCCCACTGATACAGCGTTCATTTAATGCCGTGCTTTGTCCCTTCTTTTGTAACTTTCTGCATTGTTGTCTTTGTTTTTCCATACTAAATGCCTAGATCTAACCTGGTTTTCTGTTATTCATACCTTGCCTTTTTTGCAAGTCATTCTCTTTCTTGGCTTATGATGGCTAAATCTATTATAGGCAGCAATAAACACTGCAGACAATTTTTTTCTGAGAGCCATAGACACTGTGTATTTTTGTTCCTTTTTGCCTTTGCCTGTATGAGCTTACGAAAATCTGTAGTCCTTGCTGGACTGGAAGATAGGCAAATGGAGGCTGGGGAGGATTTTACTGAAAGTTTTTTCATTTGCTTTGGCTGTGCCCTGTTAAGTAAATATTTAGCGTGATTCTTGATAATTTGAACGCTTAACTGCTGCTTCACACACGCAGGTGACCTCTGCTGAAAGCCGCCTGGGGCACTGGAACAAGGTAACAGACCATTGATTCTATTCCATTTACAGAGGAGCTACGTGACTTGCTGCTTGTGTTTCTGGCAAGAAAGAAGAGTGAGCTGTGGTTCAAACAGTGACCAAAGACTTGAATTATACCGGATCTTGTTACTCCCACGGTGACTTGGTTAAGTCTCACCTGGATAAACCAGCTTGCTTCTTTGGACTCTGCCATCTTTGGAGGCATGTTCATCCATGAGCGCAAGTTGGAGCAGGATCCCAACTTAAATGTCACCTTTTGAAGGTGACTCTTCCTTAACTCCACATGGAGACTGGCCTCTAACTTAGCTGGTTCAGAGAAGTACATGCAAGTGAGTGGTTCGACAGCCTCCTCCCTTGTTGATTTTACAGTGTCATCTGATCTCCCTTTGTGCTGTAATGTACCAAGCCCAAATACTCTATCTGTGAAGCGCTTCGGGACATAGTCTGTCTCCTACTGCATGATGATACCGTGCTTGGTGTCCTGACTAGGTAGTGCTTAGAGACCAGAGTGAAAACTGAAGGCCTCAGTGAATTAGCCGTGGTAACCACTATAAAGAAATCTGGATTTTTGCTAGCCAAGAAGCAGCAAAGCTGCAGGTGAGGGCAGAGCCTGTTCTCCCTGTGACCTATCTCCATGTGGAGTGGCTCAGTCTGCGTGTGGCCGTGGGCAAGGTGGAATCCGGCCTGGTCCCTTTCTGCAAGCAGTGGCGGGGGGGGGGGGGGGGGGACACAGATTTCTTTTTGTGCAGGTATCTTGCAATTAAAATTCTTTTAGCACAAAGGCATTTCTTGGTCATAAAGAATATTCCCCTTCTCATTTGTGCACTGTTTGTCTGCATGTGTGTGTATACATCAAAATGCACACACGGTGTCACGAGCATAAAGCTCTATATAGCAAAGAGCAGAGTATGAACTCGTGATGGCACCCTACAATTTCATGTGTCCTTCTTGCTGCTTTCTGCTGAGGCCTTCCCTGTTGAATGAGATCATGGCCTTTGATGTTTCCTTTGCTGGTCTGGTAATACAGACCTCGTTGTGTCAATACTTCCATTTTATAAATGGGAAAAGTGCAGCTGGGAACACAGAACTCAGAGTCACTAGTGTAATACCAGCCACCTACTGCCTGAATCATGCCAGGAGTCACCCAGAGAATCTAGGTTACTGTCTTAGTCACCACAAAAACAAACAAAAAACCCACCTGAATCAGGTAAATCACAGTCAGTAGTGGTAAGAGATGAGGAATTTCTGGGTTGCTGTTTTGTCTTCAGGAAGCGCTTTTAATCCTAGCTCATGTTAACAGTTTCCTGGGGTCCTAGGGTTGCTAAAAGTATCTCCATGAAAGAACAGGTTTACTTAATTATTGATATTTCAAGCACCCCAAGTATTGACCCAAGGTGATAAGACTTGTGGTCATTCTGGTTTCTGAGGGCAGATATGCTGTATTTCACCATTTAGTGTGGCTTAGTTAATCATCGCTGTTGCTCAGTACTGAATCTCAGAGTGTTAGCATTTTTCCTGGTGGGATTTATGACCTATTTATCTAGTGAAGGACTTACATTTAGCCCTCAGAACCTAGCCATCCACCTCAGTACAATCATGTTTGTTTCAATGCAAGAAAATAATTAAGCAAGAAATGAATCAATTGATTAATCAGGACTTTATCAAATACACAATATTACTGTATGTTGATGAAATGCATCTTCTGCTTTGCACCGTCAGAGCCTTTAATTAGTTTCCGTTGAATCAGGGTGGGGGGTGTTGATGCAGCAGATACTGCATTAACATCAAAAGCTTGGGAAGTTTTTCTTTTTTTGTTGGGTTTTTTTTTCTTTTGCTTTTGAAGACAACTAAAAATGCAAGTATAAACTTTCTCGGCTTTTCTGTGATCCCTGTATTTGAAGGGCCTCAATGTATTTGGGGCAAACATGATGCATTTGGAGCTCATTTGATTAAAAAACCCAACAAAACAAAACAAGCCCTGCTCTAAAACAACCAGCAGCTCCTTGCCCTCCAAAAGGAAGG